ATAAGGATGGGGGAGTTTGGGGGGTTTTTTCTAGTATGAGGGGACAAAAAGCCGCGTAACTATCGCCTGGGAAGGTTTGGCGGGGCGGGGGCCCCCCGCCCCCCCCCCCCCCGGGAATTTTAAAAAGACCCTCCCCCCCCCCCCAGGAAGGTGGCCATTATGGGTAGGTAGGGAGGTAATATGACAATTTTTTTAGGGAGTACAACTTTTTTGCTAAGTTCATGCTTACTGTATCTCATAATGGTAATCCAATCGTATATAATAATTATATAGAGATGAAAATTATACACAAAAAAACTTGAATAATGTTTGGAACCAAAATGTTAATGTGACAAAACAAGTAAGGTTCTCAAAATTTGCCATAAGTATCATAGACAATTTATTTATGCTTACTGCAGCATTTTAAATGGAATCAAAATGCGATTGCTGCAATTACTCATCAATGCATCATACGGGTCAAATTTCATGACCATTCTTGACTCTCATCAGTCGCTGAAAAATCTGGCCATTGTGGAGAGGTTATTTTGGCAGTTTTTTCATGGAAACATGCTTTAGTGGCCATCGCTGTTGTAGAGAGGTGGCGGTTGGTGCAGGTTCAACCGTATTTGGGCAGTATAGTTCGTAATTTCTTTCATGTCATCATCCTCTCTCACAGTTATGCCACAAGTTTGGACAATTCTTTGCTTTGAAATATTTAGTGCTCTAACTGCTTAGCCACGCTGCATCCAGTCCTTTTTAGCTGGGCTATTATGAAAATGTACTTTTCTGCATTTACGATAATGGAGCTAGCTAGTTAGTCATTCAAGTAAAAGAATCATTTTGTTATTTCAATCTTATTCTTCTTACAAAAGGTTTTATAATATTAAAAGTTTCTCTCGTTACAAGTTAAACCTTAAGAATTTAAATGTTTTGGTTTGATGATGACCGTTAATTTGATATTTTATCAGAAAATTAAATGTGAGTTCGTTTACACAGCTACTGCCATGAAAAACATCACCAAAGACTATCAACTTGGATTTGGTTCTTTTGTGGACAAGACAGTATCTCCATTCATCAGAACTGAGTATGTATATGTGGTAGTTACAAGTAA